GTGAAAATATTCGGATCGAAATTTATAATTTATAGTTTCGGTTTTAAGTTCTGAAATTTTTAGGTTTTACTCTCTCGTTTTCCATTTTCCGCTTCTCGCTCCATATATTCCGCTGCTGTTTTCTGTTTGTAAAACGATGGAAAAAGAAGATAACGGATCAAAACAGAGCTCCTCTGTTTCTATAGAATCATCGAGAAGACGAAGAAGATCAGTTGGGCCGGTGGAAGCTACGTTAAATAGGTGGGTGAAGAAGGAAGAGGAAGAAGGGTTAGAGATGGTTCATAAGGTTCAAGCTAAAGGTTCGAAGAAAGGTTGTATGAGAGGCAAAGGTGGTCCAGAGAATCCGGTTTGTCGGTTTAGAGGCGTTCGACAAAGGGTTTGGGGTAAATGGGTTGCTGAGATACGTGAACCAGTGAACCGCCGTGGCGAACACTCAAGCCGTGGCAAACGGCTTTGGCTTGGAACGTTTGATACTGCGTTCGAAGCCGCTTTGGCTTACGACAGAGCTGCTACTTCCATGTATGGACGTTTCGCCCGGGTCAATTTCCCGGAAGAAGATCTGGGAAACAGGCCGGGTGGAGAAATGAAGAAGAACGAGGAGACCGAAAGTTCTAGGAGCTATTGGTTGAGAGGAGAAGGTTCAAGGAACGTATCTGAAACCGGAAACGGCGTGGTTGGAGCGGAAGCCGGGAAGGGTTATTTAGCCTACGACGAGGAGGACGCCGAGTTTGGCCAAGACAAGACTGAGAATCTTGATCCCATGACTGGTAACGAGATAGTTGAATCCAACCCAGCAGTGAAATCGGAGGGAGATTATAGCTCGGATCGATTCGGATCGGATAACGGATTGTTGTACAATGAATCTGGTTATCATGGAGTTGGATTCAATCCGTATTTAGAGTATTACAGATTCTAGCTAGGGTTTATGCTACATATCTTTTACTGTAACACTTTGTTTTACATTGTTAGTTCACTTCATTTTCATTATTTTCTTAAGAGTTATGCATCATACCGCAAAAAATGTCAGATGCAGAAACAGGATCGATCCGTCTCATTCTGGCTTCTCTGGAGTAGACCACAACATTTTCCATGGACCGGTTCTTGTCCCCAATCTGAAACATGACACAACATTCTTAAAGAAAAAGTTGTGTTGACATTGTTGAGTTGAGACTAGAATGGTCTTTTAATTTTTTACCTCCAGGTTCCGGCAACTAACCGCAACGCCATGAAGAGGAACAAACCCGTCCAGATCCCGGCAAGGCCAAACGTTGGTGCAGCCACAAGCATGAACAAGGAAGATATGAATCCGGCAATCACCTGTTCCAAAACAAGAATTACTCTGCCTTTTGCTGAGGTGGAAAGGGAGATTCAAACAACCAACTGATGAAGAAGAACGAGATACCATAGCATAAGCGGCGAATCCGAAGTCAGATACTCCGTAATAGAGGCCATCAAAAACAAACGCTAGAGCATTCACCGGTTGAGATCCAGCCACAAACTGCATGCAGACAACATTATTTAGAAACGTTCAGAGATCTCTGAAACTTTTCGGAGAGTATAAGATTAGATCATACCAAGGTTCCTGACAAAGCAATCTTTAAAACTTCTGGATCCGTTGTGAATAAGCTTGAAAATGGTTCGAATCCGATGAACAAAACAGCAGCTAAACCAGTTCCAGTGGCTAAACCTACCTGCTCAAATAACATCAAACAACAAAAAATACTGAGAATCATATATAAAATGGGAATCATAAACAAAGGCGTTGTTTGAATACGAACTTGAAGGACTCCGAAGATAACTTCGCGGGCTTGTTTGTAGTCTCCTTGAGAAAAAGTGGTGGCAAGAAGACTCTGAAAATAGAGGTAGACAATTCAAGTGCAATCTTTGCATCTTTTAATGGGATTCTTATACGTCAATAAAAAAATTTGCTCAAAAGATATGTTTCGAAGTTGAGTTACGAAAGATAATAGACCTGTGCAGCAATGGCTAAAGCATCGGTGAGTAAAGAGACAGCCAACCAGATTTCCAAGCAGATTTGATGGCCAGCCATTTGAGTCGGTCCTTTCTGAGCCACTAACGAAGTAGCTAACGTGAATGGAACAAGCAGTGCCACCGTTCTACCAATTAGAAGCCCACCTACACATGAGCTAATACATTTTCATATCGTAGCATTTTGCGTTTGAATCTATTATAGAAACTCTAACAATTTGTGGAGATACCTGATTTGAGGTACTGGTTGGCTCTTCCTACTTTAATTTTAGGAGAGAGCAAAACCACATTCTCATTCAACTTCCACAGAAGAATAAACGCAATCAAGTATCTGATGAAACATTGACAAGTGAGAAAAATAAGAAGCCACAAAGTAAGATAAATCTGCTTACTAGAAAATGAGTCCATTAGTAACAAAATTTTACCACATTTTTTGGACGTACTCAGAAATCACGGTAGCAGCTGCAGCACCAGATATACCAAAACCAAGGACAAATATCAGAATTGGATCCATTATTGCATTAACCACGTTCCCCGCAACTGTTGATCCAAAGTTTTACCACATCAGAAACATGTACCGCAATTAAACTTGTATGTGAACTGCTAAAGGCGTAGATACGATTTGTATAACAACAAGCGGCAGGTGAATAGAAGAAAGAAAAAATATGATTGTGCAATACTTGCCCACTGCATATAGAGGCGTCGTAGTGTCCTTGAAACCTCGAAAAGCGCCTTGCGCAGCCAATGCAACTACAATCGGCGGTGCACCATACGCTCTAAGTCTAAGGAACTCCTCTGCTGGTATTCGCATCGGTGAATCCTAAGAATTCACAAACCGAAAGAGAAGAGAGCTCACACTTATGAAACTCTAAAGTTGATAGCTTAAATTCCACAAGCATTATAGACATACGAAAGGTATAGCCATGATGTCCATCAAGTAATCAGATCCAAGAGAAAGCGCAATCGCCTCTGCAATACCGACTCCAGCAGCAAGTGCTAAGGACGTTGAAACAGAAGGCAACACTTTCTTCCCTGAACAAACAAAATTGAACCAAAAATAAGAAACAAACCATAGCAGTCTTATAGATTATAACATTCTGAATCAAATCTTGAAAGAAATATATATATAAACTACTTTTTTCCGTAGAATCATTATCATCTTTAGCTGCAATTGCTTGCTCTTCCGCAACAAAAGATGTTGTGACATTAAGCAAAGGAACATTGAAGAGCTTCGACACTAAATTGAACACAGAAACCGAAACTCCAACCGCAGCTAGTTCTGCAGAACCTGTCACATTACATAAATAATTTTAATTACCAATATGTTACATGTAAACCAAACAAGAACAATGTAAGAATATTTACCAATATGACCAACAAAAGCAGTGTCAACAAGCGATGTAATAGGATCAGCAGCCAAAGCTAATGCAGCTGGTAATGCAATCGACATAATCTCCATTCCAATCTTACCAATCCTAAAAACATAACAAATTATAACTCAAAAAGAGATTAGAGAATCAGTAGAAGGAAAATTAAATTACAGAAGCTAACCCAGGATCCGGTTTGGGATCAGGACCCGGTTTAGAAGATTTCACTAGATTCTGTAAAGTCTGATTTCCCGGCGACTTATTAGAAGAAGCTGCGACGGTGGGAGAATCATCCCGAGGCGAGGATTTGAAGATGATGCTTCTTCGAATCTGTAAATTAGGGCTTCGAGGAAGATTGTGAAGTTGGAAAAGTGAGGGAGATCGAAGAGGAGAGAAAGAGAAGGAGGTCGCGACCGCCGCCATTTGCGGAGAGAGAGACGGAGGAAAATCGCGGCGAAGAAGAAGAAAGAGAACCGCATGTTCTTTATCTAATCTAGTTAACCAACTGATTAAACGGTCGGATTGGGAAGCTCAAGAAATCCGAGTTCTTCTACACTAGAGTTGCAACTTATGTCTGGACCTTTTATGGGCTTTTTAATGGGCTTTTAAATAGCTTTTTCTTTTTTCCCTAGTTTGATTGGGAATTTTTTTTTCTTTTTTCTTTAGTGCTCTTATATTGGTTTGTAACTTGTATACACCTCCAATTATTTATTTTCCTCTTTAAATGGATTTGGATTCGTATTATATATCTTGATTTTTGGATGGACATTTGAAATCCGCATATC